GTAGCGTTCTGGCCTCACGGCCCCCGAAAGCCCAGACGCTAGCAGAACAAACTGATTTGACGAGCCAGGAGGCGAGCATCATGAGCATCAGCTGGGTAGCGTTCTGGCCTCACGGCCCCCGAAGGCCCAGACGCTAGCAGAACAAACTGCTCCAGTGATTGGGGCGTTTTGACGAGCCAGGAGGCGAGCATCATGAGCATCAGCTGTGTAGCGTTCTGGCCTCACGGCCCCCGAAAGCCCAGACGCTAGCAGAACAAACTGCCCCAGCGATTGGGGCGATTTGACGAGCCAGGAGGCGAGCATCATGAGCATCAGCTGGGTAGCGTTCTGGCCTCACAGCCCCCGAAAGCCCAGACGCTAGCAGAACAAACTGCCCCAGTGATTGGGGCGTTTTGACGAGCCAGGAGGCGAGCATCATGAGCATCAGCTGTGTAGCGTTCTGGCCTCACGGCCCCCGAAGGCCCAGACGCTAGCAGAACAAACTGCCCCAGTGATTGGGGCGATTTGACGAGCCAGGAGGCGAGCATCATGAGCATCAGCTGGGTAGCGTTCTGGCCTCACGGCCCGAAGGCCCAGACACCAGCAGAACAAACTGCCCCAGTGATTGGGGCGATTTGACGAGCCAGGAGGCGAGCATCATGAGCATCAGCTGGGTAGTGTTCTGGCCTCACGGCCCCCGAAAGCCCAGACGCTAGCAGAACAAACTGCCCCAGTGATTCAGGCGTTTTGACGAGCCAGGAGGCGAGCATCATGAGCATCAGCTGGGTAGCGTTCTGGCCTCACGGCCCCCGAAGGCCCAGACGCCAGCAGAACAAACTGCGCCAGTGAATGAGTTGTATAACCCTACACCCTAAACCCTAAACCCTAAACCCTAACCCTAAACCCTAAACCCGAAACCCTAAACCCTACACCCGGATGTGTGTGGGACACGACATGGAGATCCTGAACCCGAAGCCGCTCCGGGGGGTCAGAAGACAGCTTCCAGCTTTCCCTTGCGTAGAAGGGTTCTGATGTACGGGCCCTTCATTTGTACAGGGTATACAAGGGGTTTAGGGTTTCGGGTTTCGGGTTTGGGGTTTGGGGTTGAGGGTTTAGGGTGTAGGGTTTGGGGTTTGGGGTTTCGGATTTGGGGTTGAGAGTTTAGGGTTTAGGGTTTAGGGTTTAGGGTTTGGGGTTTATTCTTTAGGGTTTGGGGTCTAGGGTTTAGGGTTTAGGGTTTAGGGTTTAGGGTTTAGGGTTTAGGGTTTAGGGTTTAGGGTTTAGGGTCTAGGGTTTAGGGTTTAGGGTTTAGGGATGTGCCCCCTTATACTAACAGGCCTGAATAGGGACTTTGATCCGGGGTACTAGAATATCCCTACTTAGGACTGTTAGTATCAGGGGGAACATCCCATGCTATGTCATATTCGCCTCGGCTTCCTGCCGAGAAGCGTCTGGAACAAGCAGACCCGGATCGGGCCTCCTTCCCCCTAACCCAGCCCTTCCCCCCCCCCCCCCCCCCCCCCCCCACCCCCCCCCCTTTAACCCCGCTGCCCTTCCTCCCCTTTTTGGCGAAACCCTCTTTCCTCCTTTCCTGTCCTGGGGCCGGCCCGGCTGCCGAGGCGGCGCGCGCAAGCGTTTACAATTTTTAGGGTTTAGGGCTTAGGTAGAGTATATATAATACCTGATATAAAATATGATTGACATCCCAGGACAAAGTTGGCAACATCATCTGAAACCCTAAATCTCAGACACAAACCCTGAAACTTTAAACCCCAAGCCCTAAAACTCTAGACTACCACACACTAAGCCCAAAACCCGAAAAGTCGAAACTCTTCATAAACCCCCAAAGCCCCAAATTTAAAACTTAAACCCTAAACCCTAAGCCCTAAGCCCTGACCCCTGAAGCCTAAACGTACCTAGAAGCTCTTTTGACTTCGTACGTCTACTTGGTATCCCCTAGAAACCCTAGTATAATTCCCCATAACCCCACCTTACTAACCCCACTTACTAAGTCAAACTGGCCTCCCAGTCGCCTAAAGCCTAAACCCTAAACCCTAAACCCTCAACCCTCAACCCTCAACCCTAAACCCTAAACCTCCCCTTTCACCAAGCAACAGGCCTGTAAGATCATCCGCCGAACGGTTCTTTGCGCTGGGCGGGAAGGCTACACGTTGGTACCATCACATGCATGCTCGTAGGGGCTTACGGTTTAGGGTTTAGGGTTTAGGGTTTAGGGTCTAGGGTTGAGTGTTTAGGGTTTAGGGTTTAGGGTTTAGGTTTTAGGCCTTGGGGCGTGGGGTTCAGGGTTAGGGTTTTGTAGGGTTTAGGGTCAAGGGGGCCCTGGCCGGAGGTTTCAGTACATAAACCAAGATGTGCAATATGTGATCACCAAGCATCGAGTTATGCAATATGCAATATGCAATATAGTGTAGGATGGCAGTTCTCTAAGATGTTTGGGGTTCGGGACAAGTTGTCTTGACTTCCCTGGAGCTCTAGGGGTCTGAAGGGTGCTTGAGTGGACTACCGGCGCAAACTGCACATGTCTGATCCGTGGTTAGGGTTTAGGGTTTAGGGTTTAGGGTTTAGGGTTTAGGGTTTAGGGTTTAGGGTTTAGGGTTTAGGGTTTAGGGTTTAGGGTTTAGGGTTTAGGGTTTAGGGTTTAGGGTTTAGGGCTTACGGCTGCCATGTGGCCAATGAGTCCGTGATCTCGGCGCGGCAGGCTGGGCAATCTTGCGACATCAGCTCCAATGCCAACGAAACACGCGTGCAGTTCGCGAAGGATGCGTTCACTCGCGCTGGCCTTTTTGTGCAGGGCGAGATTGGGAGATGAGACGGCTCGTCGCAGAGCTCCCTTGGGGAATGTTTTGTATCTCGGGTCCCCTCGTCCCTTGCAAAGTGTTTAGGGTTTAGGGTTTAGGGTTTAGGGTTTAGGGTTTAGGGTTTAGGGTTTAGGGTTTAGGGTTTAGGGTTTAGGGTTTAGGGTTTAGGGTTTAGGGCTATGAAGAACGGACCCAGGTGTCTGCGGTGTCTGACCTGCCTGTTCTCTAGTATGACCCGATGGCCAACCTAAACCCTAAACCCTGAACCCTAAGCCCTAAACCCCAAACCCTACACCCTACACCCTAAACCCTAAACCCTAAACCCTAAACCCTAAACCCTAAACCTCCGCTCAGCAGCAGACATGCCAGGAACCTGGGCTTGCTTCTAAGGGTAGTTACATGTTCCCTTGATATGGGCCGCTAAAAGGGGGAACCCTAAACCCTAAAGCCTAAACCCTAAACCCTAAACCCTAAACCCTCAACCCCTTGTATACCCTGTATAAATGAAGCGCCCGTACATCAGAACCCTTAAAAGGAGGTAAGGGACCATGTTAGGGGCCCATGAAACGACCTTCAGATTGTTGGAGCAAATGCTCTAGGACGTAGTGTTGCAGCACTGAACTAAAAGGCCTCGAACTTTCATTCGTGGATGGACAGAAGTGAAAGCACTTTTGTCGAAGGTCTACCTACTGAAGACCTACTCAAGGCCCTCTGAAACCATGCGAAGAGATCCCCTAAACCCTAAACCCTAAGCCCTAAACCCTAAACCCTAAACACTAAACCGTAAACCACGGATCTTCTTCCCACACACGAGGGGAACAGACCCCAGAAGCGCTTAGGGCTTCGGGTTTCGGCACCCTGAAGCCGAACTTTCGCGAAACCCTAAACTTCCTCAATGAGGTTTAGGGGTTCAGGGTTTACGGTTTAGGGTCTAAGGTCTAGGGTCTAGGGTCTAGGGTCAATGAGGACAAAGGCTTCCTTTCTTGGCATTGCGTTGGCTTACGGGGATGTTGCAGTCATGCTGACAGTCTGCTGGTGACAGAGATGATCCGTATGGTAGCAATCCTAAACCCTAAACCCTAAACCCTAAACCCTAAACCCTAAACCCTAAACCCTAAACCCTAAACCCTAAACCCTAAACCCTAAACCCTAAACCCTAAACCCTAAACCCTAAGAAAAGCAGTGTCTCCCCTGAGAACGCGTTCAGGGACGTCCCTCACTGCTTGGGTGTTTAGGGGCCCTGTCCTGAATTTACCGCCAAGATGTGCTCACATAATGGGGTTTAGGGTTTAGGGTTTAGGGTTTAGGGTTTAGGGTTGAGGGTTGAGGGTTTAGGGTTTAGGGTTAGGGTTTAGGGTTAAGGGTTTAGGGTTTTGGGTCAGGACCTAGGATTTGGGGATTGGGGCTTTACAGGTTTAGAGTCTTAGGCCTGCGAAGTCCCGCAAAGTTCTAGTCCCCCAAGCAGCAAGAGAAACGGGGCCTTGCGCCTCGAAGCCTAAAATCTCAAAAGGCAGAAGCCCGAGTTCCAAACCATGAAACCCAAAGCCCTAAACCTAAACCCTAAACCCTAAACCCTAAACCCTAAACCCTAAACCCTAAACCCCAAGCCCTAAACCCTAAACTCCGACAGCCGACTCAGGGATGAGGGCTTCCAGGCCTGTCCCTTTGGACTTGCTTTGAGGTTTAGGAATTGGGGCTTAGGGTTTAGGGTTTAGGGTTTAGGGTTCTTAAGGTTTAGGAGGGTTTTAGGGTTAGGGTTGACAGGGTTGATAGGGTTTGTAGGGTTGTTGGGGTTTCCAGGGTTTATGGAAGTTTATAGGGCTTCTAGGGATTCTCGGGTTGACAGGGGATTTGAAGGGTTTGCACAGTTTACGCGGTTATAGGGTTGGTAGGGTTTATGGAGCTTACGTGGTGTTGTAGGGTTTGTGTGGTTTCCAGGGTTTTTAGGGTTTTGTAGGGCCAGGGGGACCAAATTTTTGAGTTAACCCTGCACCGGATGGCGAAACATGTCTGATCATTGATGCAAATACAGCCCTGTAAAAACAGGTGCATCAATGAAGTCTACAGCTGCGTTTGGCCATAGTTGGGGGGGGGGGGACTCTTGCCCAACTTGCCAGTTGCAAGGTCCTACGGCAGTCAGCAAACGCTGGTCCAGCATTTCGGCCATGATCCCTGGAGTTGATCTTTAAAATCACGGGGTGCTCAATCAAGTGCGAACTGCGACTTGAAACTGCTCAAGTCCAGCAAGTGAGGGCAGAGGAAGCCATCACAGTGCTCATCCTCCTGCACCAGCTGATACAACGGTGGCGCCTGTGGGTTGATGGAGGACTCTGCCAGTTCTTGGGGGCTCGAGCGGCCCGAGTCCAAGGCCGGAACACGCTTCGGAGGCGCCAGCGCACCAAACTGGAAGTCGTGCACAAATCCATCTCCGGAACAGTTGGGCGCGTCGAGGACGCGCGAGTAGGCGTACATGCCAAGCTGGGCAGCTTCTTGGTTGACCTGGTGGTGGCCGGCACAGAAGTCAGATCCTTCCGGCACGAAGATGGTTTCAACCGGTAGCCACGTCGAACCGCCTCTACCCTGGGGACAGCTGGGGCCATCTGACAACACAATACGTGTGCTGCGAGTATTCTCACACAAGTAAATGGCCTTAGCACCCTCAGAGGCTTCTGGAAGGGTCCGAAACGTCAGCCACTCCCCCTTCAGCGATGGTTTCGGTGACCAGGGACCGCCACAGGCCTCCCTGCCAATGCCAACATGCACTGTGTCCATCAGATGCTTGTCCAACCTCTTCTGGCACACGGTCCAAAGCAACGGGACGCTCAGGTAGGCTTCGCGATCCTGGACGGATCTCAGCCACGAAAGAACAAGGGTTCCGCCTACTCCAGATTGCTACTGCTCCGACTCTTGATACCCCAGTAACCATATTATAATGAGGGTACCACTTTTTGGCTGGTTACTTTATCAGAGAATCTAGAACCCAGAAAAGGGCAAAAGGTTTCCATTGGGCCACCAAGTACAACTCCCGACCCTGCTGTCCCCAACTGCCCCCGACTCCCAAGTCCGCCAATTGCGTGTTTTTCTTCAAGGGACACCACTCCGAACAACAATTCGTCAGAAAACTTCAGCATTTATGGCGATCCGACTCTCCTGAAACGCTTTCATGATGGCGAGCGCCGGCTTGGGATTGACGATGACTAGCCCATCTTGCGGCGAAGTCAATGACCGAAGAAACTTCTGCAGAAGGTGTGGCACCTCCAAAGGTCCGTGTGCCAACAACTTGGGCAGCTTTGGATTGGCTGGCTGAGGGGTTAGGATTGAGGGCTGTCACGAACTTCCGAGATTGGTGTTGCTGCGAGGGCTACTCCTACTCCTACTCCTGCTCCTGCTCCTATTCCTACTCCGACTCCGACCCCTACGCCTACTCCCACTCCGCTACTGCTGCTGCTAACTGTTGGCGTGGTAGGACTACGTAGTACTAGCAGTAGTAGAACTGGCACTCGCAGTAGTAGCAATATAGTAGTCGAAATGGTACTTATAGACGTGGTCGTAATAATCGTAGCAATGGCAATGGCCATAGGCATAGCCATATCGTAGCCATGGAAATGACACTAGTACTCATGGCACCAATACCAGAAATAATACCAATAGGAAAAACACTAGCAATACCAGAATGGCAATTGCACCTGGAATAGAAACAGCAATAGCAATAGCAACAACAGTAGCAATCGCAATGGTACTATTTACAAGTGATAGTACTAGTAAAGTACTAGGGCTACTAGGGCTTCTTCTACCTGACATCACGTGTAGTCCGCCCTAAACCCTAAACCCTAAACCCTTAACCCTAAACCCTAAACCATAAACCCTAAACCCTAAACTCTAAACAAACCCCAAACCCTAAACCCTAAATCCGTAGTGCCCGTTATCCATGCAACAAAGGCCACGAACCGAGGCTGGGGGGTTTAGGGCTTAGGGCTTAGGGTTTAGGGTTTGGGGTTTAGGGTTTAGGGTTTAGGGTTTAGGCTTTGGGGTTTGAGGTTTAGGGTTCAGGGTTCATGGTTTAGGGTTTAGGGTTTAGGGTTTAGGGTTTAGGGACAGACAGGCGCTTCCGTGCCCGGCCTCCTCATTAAACACTTTGGCGAGCTGGAACCGGCGATCGAGGAGCAGGAAGCTGGCCCCCGCAGCCTCCGGGCAGTCCGCAGGATCTGCAGCTACGAGTCGCGCCACCCGCGCACGAAGGGATCGAAGATCCCAGGGAAAGTGTTCGGACCGATTCTTGGACCCCAGGCTGTGCAATGCCCAACGCTGTGGGAGACCTCTCGTGCCGTCGCCACAGAGTCCAGGTGGGACGGCGATCGGTACATCGCGAGCGGAAAATTCAGGGCCGCGCCTCAGCCGAAGACGAATGCAGGTGATGCCCCGCTGCGCGTCGCTGTGGTCTTCCTCAACTTCTAGAAGGTGGAAAGGTGGTAGGCTGTTGAGGCCTTCCATAGCCCAGCGCCTCCCGTGCGCCGTCTCATTTACCAGCTGCAGGTTGCGAGCATACTTCCGGAAGTCCACGACGCGCCGGGTGTGATTCGCGCTGTGCAAGTGCTGGCCGCGAAATTTCCCAAAGCCATGCGGTGGCTTCTTGATAGACAGGCCAATCTTGTGACGCTCTTTCAGGCGACTGATGATGGGATCGTGGCAATGGGGATAGCAGTCCCCGTACCTGAGAAGACAGAACGGAACAAAGGGATTAGGTGGGTGCTCCAAAAATGTGTTCCAAGTGCGGCTATCCGATCCTGCTGCACAGGAAAAACGTATCACCTATTCAAATCTTCAAATCCCACGTGCTATAGAAAAGTGTATTTGCTTGCTTCCTTCTACTCAAGCCTAGTTAGGTAAATTTACGTGTCTCCTTCCGCAATCCGACACCTTCCTGTCAAACCACAAATAGTGAAGCCGAGTGTGGTTATTTCGTCGGCAATTTGGAACACACACGAATCAGCCCTTCACATCCCGCACGCGATGGCTGCTATGGTGACCCCACCTCCCCTGTGACCTACCTATCGTGCGCTTGATACATAATACCATGATACCGCATCTCACATCAGATCTTCGGACGTCGCCGGCTTTTGGTTGCTCAAATGTAGTCAGATATGTTGATTTGTTTTTCAACTGCTTTTTGTGACAATACATCAGTTGTGTTATCAGTTTTTGGAACTATCACCTTCACATGTACTAGGGTTTTGTCCGTTTTGTCCTCGGGCCTCTGCGCAATGCCTGGCTGGGATGATGATAATGATGGATTTAGGGTTTAGGGTTTAGGGCTTAGGGTATGATGGGATCGGAACTGAGGGAACGATCCCTCCGACCCATGTCCGATAATCAGGGACCCCAACAACAAACCCCAAATAGTAGGATCCGCTTGTCATAAGGGCCACATAAGGTACCCCCAATTTCGGAAAACTGCATCAAGAGCACAGGAGGCTGGATAGTCTTAGGCGGTGAAACAGCTCATCATCCTCCGCACCCCATCCCTGAAAGTTGTTTGAGAAGCCGTTGATCTTGCGCCAGTGCTCCAGTCTCATGCCGATAACCCCACCAGTGTTGTTGAGCGAAGGCGACATCCAGTTGTAGCGGTCGATCTCCGAGCTCAGCTGCGTAGGAACCTCGCAAGATGCGTAGTCCACACCTGGATCTGGCAGATAGTCAATGTCCTGGCTCACGATGCAGTCGAAGCCCGATCGGTTGTCGCCCACGCTTCGGTAGGCTGAGATGTTGCCTGAGAAGTTGGTAAGGAGAGCCACGAGGCCAGCATTGAAGGTAAAACCGCGGTTCCAAGGCTCTGCGTCGAACTGCTCGGCGACGACCACGACCCAGTTTACGGGCTTTGACTGCGCTGCAAACTTGCGCCAGTGACGCTTGAAACCTTCGTAGCCCAGTAGCCATATTATGATAACGGCACCCTTTTTTTGGGGTTGGTTATGTTATAAGGGAACCCATAACCCAAAAAAAAGAAAGGTAAAGGGTACCACTGGGCTACCAAGAAACCCTCCAGGTGCACATCGCGATCGCGAAAAGGGATGATCACTGCGACGGTAGAGTTGGATGAGTTGGATGAGTTGGATTTGCTTCCTTGGTATACCCCAGTAGCCACATCACAATAAGGGCACCCTTTTTTGGTTGGCTAATTCATAAGGGATAACCTTGAACCCAAAAAAAAAGGGAGGGTTACCTCTGGGCTACTCAGCTTCTTACGTTGGGCCGGTGCTTTCTTTGCTTCGGCTTCGCCCGTAAGTGGAGCACAGTCCGTACCTCGGCAACAGCCCCTCGCCAGGTCGGGGCATGATGGCCTGCGTAGAAGAGCAGAAAAGGCAAAGTGGCCACCAAGACTGTCACGGCCACCATCAGGCGCAACAGGTTCCGCCATCGCAGGTTTCTTGCTTCCATGACGTAGGACACCACAAGGACAGAACAGAACTGACAATGACGCGCATCTTGGGAAAGGCGTCTTATGCTAGCATACGTTCCATGTGAAAACCAGAAACTCTAAACTCTAAATCTGAGTCCAGGACTTAGGCCCCTTACAAGCTACGGGAAGAGGCGGCAGGACGATGAAATCGCTTGAGCCCTCGACCCTAAACCCAAACCCTTAACATAATTGGGGGCGAAGCCCAGAGTGAGAACCTCTCAATGCTAAACTGCCGGCTGGTTCTGCGTAGGGAATGAGGTACCCTATAGCCCCCAAACGTTACCCTTTACTTGTATAGGGTACCTCGTTCCCCCATTCTACTCAGAACCAGGGGGTCTAAGCCCTAAACCCTGAACCCTCAACAGCAAGCCTTAAGATCCAAGGGCTCTAACCCCAAAGCCCTAAGCCCTTGGGTCTCTGAGCCTTGGAGAGTTCAGGGCTAGGCTTTAGTGTTTAGGGTTTAGGGTTTAGGGTTTAGGGTTTAGGGTTTGGGGTCTGGCGTCTGGGGTTTGGGGTTTGGGGTTTAGGGCTTAGGGTTTAAAACTTAGGGTTGCCAACTCTCAGGACCTTGGACTGCAGGCATTCCTGTGCTTAGGCTCGCGCACCGGCCCGCTGCGCTCCTGAGCTCTGCACGTGGAACGCGGGGCTTAAGGTTTACTGTAGGGTTTAAGGTTTAGGGTTTAGTGTTTAGGGTTGAGGGTTTGGGGTTTAGGGTTTTCGGTTTAGGGTTTAGGGTTTAGGGTCTAGGGTTTAGGGTTTAGGGTTTAGGGTTTAGGGTTCAGGGCTAGTTGAGGGAGCTTAGCAAAAGAAACCCGATCCACATCAACGGTGTCCGCGAGGAAACCCTTCGACTAACCCCCCACGCTCGGGTTCGGGAGGAGGGCTGAGGGAAAATCCCAAATCCTAAACGCTAATCCGCACGCCCTAAACCCTAAAACCCTAAACCCTAAAACCCTAAAACCGTAAAACCCTAAACCCTAAACCCTAAATCCTGAATCCTAAACCCTAAGCCCTGCACCCTGACTACATCTCCAAACCCCAACTCCCCGACATCCTGGCCTTTCGCAAAAGCACCGCTTTTCACAGCTGCCTGGGGGCCAGCGTTTCGGGTTTTAGGATTTAGGGTTTTGGGGTTTAGGGTTGCAGGGTTTAGGGTCTAGGGTTACGGTATAACGTTTCGGGTTTAGGGTTTAGGTTTTAGCGTATAAGGTTTTGGGATTTAGGGCTTAGGGTTTAGGGTTTCGGGTTTAGCGTATAAGGTTTTGAGGTTTAGGGTTTAGGGTTTCAGGTTTCGGGTTTAGGGTTCGGGAGCAGAGGGATTCTGCGGGTTTGGCTTCGGGGCTCGACTCCGGGCAGATGCTGGGGGCTTCTTGATATCATGGAGCCACTTGGGCTTCTTGGTGTAGGGTCTAGGGTTACAGGGTTTAGGGTTTCGAGCTGAGCACGTAAACCCTAAACCCTAAACCCTACACCCCAAACCCCAAACCCCAAACCCCAAACCCCAAACCCTAAACCCTAAACCCTAAACCCTAAACCTTTTGGGGCTTGTAAGGGCTGACCTCCGAGGCAAGCAGCTCCCTGCACCCCAGGTGCGGCCCGCGTCGGCGCCATCGAAAACCACAGGGGATCCATTGCGGAGGGTTCGGGCTGCTCCCTAAACCCTAAAGCCTAAACCCTAAACCCTAAACCCTAAACCCTGCAACCCTAAACCCTACACCCTAAAACCCTACACCCTAAAACCCTAAAAAACCCGAAAGGCTGGCCCCCAGGCAGCTGTGAGAAGTGGTGCTGTGGTGTAAGGCTAGGATGCCTGGGAGTTAGGGTCGGGAAGGTGTTGTCAAGGTTTAGGGTTTGGGATCTAGGGTTTAGGGCTTAGGGTTTAGGGTTTAGGGTTTAGGGTTTAGGGTTTAGGGTTTAGGGTTTAGGGTTTAGGGTTTAGGGTTTAGGGTTTAGGGTTTAGGGTTTAGGAACCCCTGGGTTGCTGTGTCATCCTCCGGCCCTTGTTGCCCAGAGCGTCGTGCTGCGGGAAGGTTTGCGAGATCCACGCGAATTCGCTTCAGCAGAAACCCTAAACCCTAAACCCTAAACCCTAGAACCTAGAACCCTTAAACCCTAAACCTAAACTTTAAACCCTAAACCCTAAAACCCTTGACCCTTAAAACCCTAAACCCTAAACCCGAACCTTGCCCCGAGAGTGGCACCCTCACTACACTGGCCAAAAGCCTTTTTCCTTTGGAATGAGATGGTCTTTGGCCAGGACTGAGGCCGCTTGTCACAGAGCGCTCAGTGACCTGCTTCCTGTACACCAGCCCAGTCACTGGGCCAAACCCTGCGACCAAGATGGCTTTTGTGCCACCCTCAATTACTGCAAGGGCGGTGTCCCACGGTTGGCTAGTTTTGCTGATGCATGTCACGCGCTTGTCGCACTTGATATGCTGTCCTTGGGGAACTGTCAAGCGCACTCACCCCTCGTGATGCCATGGCAAGTTGTGCTCGCAGCTTGCTCCGACAAACCTCCACCCTAAACCCTAAACCCTAAACCCTAAACCCTAAACCCTAAACCCTAAACCCTAGCTGAGATAGAATCAAGGTAGAACTGTAGCGGCTGTGGCGGACAGACAGAATCTGGGCAGTTTGCACTGAACGTGCCCGCACTGCGCCGGAGCAGGATGCCTCACACGACGCTATTATTCTAAGTTGAGGCTGCTCACTCAAAAATAGCCTGCGCCACCGGTGCATAGGGTTTAGGGTTTAGGGTTTAGGGTTTAGGGTTTAGGGTTTAGGGTTTAGGGTTTAGGGTTTAGCGTTTAGCGTTTAGGGTTTAGGGTTTAGGGTTTAGGGTTTAGGGTTTAGGGTTTCGGGTTTAGGGTTTAGGGTTTAGGGTTTAGGGTTTAGGGTTTAGGGTTTAGGGTTTAGGGTTTAGGGTTTAGGGTTTAGGGCCTCGGGTTTAGGGTTTCACAGGTGAAGACCGGATGGGTACGGATGGCAGGGGGCAGGGGGCCATCCTCTGAAAAAGCTGAAAATCGTGAATTCCTGGGTGCTAGGCACTCTTCAGGCAAATCTACGAGTTCCTTCTGATGAGCGGAACTATGGTCTAAAGGAGGAAGAGCAACCCTAAACCCTGAACCCTGAACCCTAAACCCTAAACCCTAAACCCTAAACCCTTTGCTACAAGTTGTCACGCTGCAAGCCTCAGCATCCATGGGCCCACGATTGCCGTGAAGGATGGGGGGGGATGAAACCTCAAATCCTAAACCCTAAACCCTAAACCCTAAACCCTACACCCGCGCCTTTAAGTGCAGTCGATGATTCCCTCAACCCTGGCTAATCCCGAAGCCAGGGATCCCCAATCCTCCAAAATCCCCCCCAAAATCCCCAAAACATCCCCTAGATCCAGGAGTAACCCGGGAGGAGAAAGGGTGCCCTTTCTTTGTGAAACCGGGGGTTACCAGGGAACCCCAAACGTCACAAAACAGGGAATAAGGGCCGACTCTGGGTGATAGTCACCCTAAACCCTAAACCCTAAACCCTAAACCCTAAACCCTAAACCCTAAACCCTAAACCCTAAACCCTAAACCCTAAACCCTAAACCCTAAGGGAAGCAGTCCCTTTCATCCGACAGACGGTAAAACCCCGCTGCAACAGCCACCTCAAAGCCTTCTCGCAGAAACTTCTGGTCCATCGACTGCGCGCAACCAGGCAGCTTGGGTTTAGGGCTTCGGGTTTAGGTTTCAGGGATTAGGGTTTAGGGTTTAAGGTTTCGGGTTTAGAGTTTAGGGTTTAGGGTTTCGGGTTTAGGGTTGCGGGGTTTAGGGTTTAGGGTTTCGGGTTTAGGGTTTAGGGCCTCGGGTTTAAGGTTTCGGGTGGGTTTACGCTGGTTTCGCGGGTGGGCACTAGGCTGGCCGTGCATTGCATCGAAAGTGAGGTGTACCCAGCCTTGCCGATGAACACAATCTTGGAAACCTGGCAAAGCATCTCAGAGGGTTTAGGGTTTAGGGTTTAGGGTTTAGGGTTTAGGGTTTAGGGTTTAGGGTTTAGGGTTTAGGGTTTAGGGTTTAGGGTTTAGGGTTTAGGGTTTAGGGTTTAGCTCTGCACCCCTAGCTCCTAACCCAGATAAGAACGGGGCTTTGAGTGCCAAATCGATCTCCAAAAAGGGGCGCTGTGAAATACATACGAGGGCCTTACGAATTCGAATGGGGTTTTGGTGGGTATCATATTATGAGTGTAAAGGGACCATAAGGGAATATCATTCGTAACTATTCAGACCCCTATACTACAGGGGCTGTTCTGAAGCCATCCCGTCTGGGACCTTCTTCTCGCCCTCTGCCCAGGGTCCCGCGTCATCCTCATCGCTGATGTCCATCACCTTGAGGAAGCGGTTTGGGGTTTAGGGTTTAGGGTTTAGGGTTTAGAGTTTGGGGCTTGGGGTTTCTGAACACTAATCTAGGCGCCTTAAGAATTAGAACGGGGTTTTGGGGACTATTATAGAAAAAACTACGTAGGGACCATAAGGGGATACGACTAGTAATTGTTCCGACGTATGTGTTAGGGTGCTTGTGGGTTCCAGGAAGACACGTGCACGTCAACCACACCCAACACTGAACCTGAATCCTCCAGCCCCAAAGCCTGGAACCCTCAACCATGAGCCCCTCACAAATCCCGATTCCCTTTAGTATTACCTTTTGGGGGAAAAGGACGAGGATGTCCCAACTTTTTGGGGGTTTACTGTACGTACCCACTGCCACCGGGATGCCGCATGGAAGACATGCTTGTAGGGATGGTTCTTCACGGCAAGGATCGCCTGCCAGGCAGATCCCCGTTTGGGAGATCAGGTGTTGGCGGAGAGGGTTCCGATCATCAGAATTCTAATCAATGTTTGAGTCCGGGTCCCAAGTATGGCCCCTTAACTTGGGGGTCCTTGTTATATACACTACATATATGATGAGGGCCCACACTTCGGATCCCTATAAACAAAGGT